GCCGGACTGGCATCACAAGGGCTGGAATGGAACCACCTCCCCCGACTCACGGCGGCATCGCTCTCCCTTGCCATGGACGAGCACGGCCCCTGGCTATGGGCCCTCCATAGATGCACGATGTTGGCAGGCACGCCGTGGCTACAGCTTAGCGCAGGAGACGAACCACTGCCCACAGAACCGAAGGAGGCCAAGGAGGCTCCTGTTGCTGCTCCGCCGGAGCATGATCCCCAGTCGGTTACGTCCCTGCCGATCGTCCTTGTCTCTGCCAACGTTCAAACCATTAAAGATGACAAGAGGCACTTCTTCTCCGCTGCCGCAGGGGGACAGCGCAGAGCTTTTCTGGTTCGTCAAGCTGATTCGCTGGGACTTGATGTCCTCTGCCTGCAAGAATGCCGTAGCAACCCGGGACGGTTCTCATCCGGGCCCTTTCTCACATGGCGGAGCGGCCATGAAAAGGGACAGTACGGAGTGGAGGTCTGGTTTCGCCGCATGTGGCAAGGACATCACCTTCAGCTGCAAGACTGGAGGATTTTGTCAGCCTCACCGCGCTGGCTGCTGGTTCGCTGTCTCAGACCAGATGTTCCGCTGGCCATTCTCTCAGCACACGCACCACATGCGGAGCGGCCCGAACAGGAAATTCATCAATTTTGGGCAGCGATTCGGCACGCACTGCATCCGCTGCCACCTCATACTATCCTGATCATGGGCATTGATGCCAATGCGGACTTCACTGCGCCAGACGCAGAGCATCGGCTCATAGGGGATCTTACTGACAGCAGGCCACCTAGAGAGGGTGATCTAGAGCTGCTGTCATTTGTGCAAGACCACCACTTGGAGGCGCCTGCTACATGGAGCTCCATTCACCAGGGACCCACCTGGACGTGGCAGCATTCCTCTGGGAAACAGCGCAGGCATGATCACATTCTGGTTGCCGCTGGCCACATCACAGTGGACGAGTCCAAGCGCCTCCCTGAGTTTGACATCGTCAACAGCACTCTGGACCACGTCCCAGTTGCCTGTACTGCGCGCGTAAGGGGTTGTCAACAGTTTACTAAGACCCCGGTTTCCTTGGCACCACCTGAGGCGACCGCCACGCACATTGCCCCAGAGGTTTGGGCAGGCTTCAAGTACCCGGGCGGTCCACATAGGGCCACCCTAGCCCTCACCTCCCGCTATCACCGCCTGGCCAGCCGGCATCGGCAAGCCAGTGGCATCATCCCGCGGCAGCCGTACATCTCTGACGAGGCGGTTCAGGTCCTCACAGCGCTGAAAGCCGATCGCAAGATCCTTCGTCAACAGGCTCGGACCTGCACCCTCAATCAGCTCCATTTGGCCTTCAAGGCTTGGGCGGCCCGCTCTGCCCCTATTGAGCACATCCGCGTCGGCATCCGGATCGGACATCGAGCCTATGCCAGGACGTGGCTCCGAGTCCTTCGGGCGCGCGAGCATGCTCACTTCTTGGCGAGAAGGGACAAGGCAGAGCACTTCCGCAAACTTACTGCCACGGCGACCGAGTTTTGGCTCGATACAGGCCGTGCGATGGAAGCCACTCATCGGCTCAAATGGGCCTCTAGGAAGGCCGCAGAGCGGCGCAAGGTTTTTGCGGCGGGAGGCCACGATATTGATGCAGACCTGCTACTCCAATTTCAGCGCCAGGAGGCCGGCAGTCGAGTCACGAAACAAGGGCTACTCGCCGCTTTCAGGGCCTCCGAGTCCCGCCCGCGTGCGCCATGCCCTGCTGCTCTGCCTTCCCTCCTTCAGGTTGAACATCAATGCCGACGCCAAAAGCTCCACAAAGCACCCGGACCGGACGGGCTGCGAAACGGGCTTTGGCGCACGCAGCCTGTCGAGGCAGCCTATCGTGTGTGCTTTGCACAAAAAGGGACCTGCCAGCGTCCCAGCCAACTACCGATCTATCGCGCTTCTCAACGGCATTGCCAAGGTCTGGCATGGACAGGTCCGGGATTCCTTAGGTCAGGAAGTACTTGCTGCCTATCACCCTCTCCAGCTGGGAGGGCGTCGAGGAGTACACACAGGCTTCGCGGTGTCTGCGTTCAGGTCTCTGACGGCCCTCAGCGACTACGCTAACCGCTCTTGGTTCGCTCTGTTCTTGGATGTCCAAGCGGCGTATTATGAAGCTGATCGGGACCTCCTCTTCGGCTGTCACGCTGCGGATGACCGACAACTCCGCGCGACCTCCCTCGCATCCGGTCTCCTTCGAGATGGGGTCCTACGCAGGCGGGGCATGGCGGAGGAAGCGGTGTGTCTGCTCGAAGATTGCGTACGGTGCTCGCACTGGACTCTCGCGGGGCACGATGCCATCATCCTGGCTGGACGCGGCAGCAGGCCAGGCGACGGACTGGCAGATGTCCTTTTTGGAGCGATATTCGCTCAGATCCTCGACGATGTTGAACAGCAGCTTGCTGCACAAGGCATCGGGCACCACTCGGCGGTCGAAGCTGTTGGGGGTAGTTGCCGCCCATTCCAGGTCGCTTGGGCAGACGACCTCTCGGTGCTTACTGATGCCGACTCGGCTGAGGAGCTCGAAGCCACTGTTCCTGTTGTCACACGCACCATTGTTGACACTGCTGAATCGTATCGTCTTCGTGTCAACTTGGGTGCCGGCAAGTCGGAAGGGCTGCTGCTCCTGCGAGGTCCAGGGGCACGCGAAGCGCGAGGCAGGCTCTTCTTGCCTCAGTCGCAGGTGACGTTTGCACCGGGGCGGACCCTGCGCATTGTGGCTGAGTATAAATACTTGGGGGTGCCGCAGACAGCGCCGGACAATGGCAGGAGAGATGCTGAAGCCTCCGTTCAACGGGGGCAAGCTGCTTGGGCCCAGGCCCACGGACTTATGCGTTCCCCGACCTTGCCTTTTGCCGTTAAGCTTGCGTGGTTCACCGGCCGGGTGCTGCCCGCTGCCTACTCCAGCCTTTCGACTGCCCTCGTGACCTCAGGGCGGGTTTGGTCGATCTATCAGGGCTTTTTCGACCGCTGCCAACGGACCCTGGTCTCCTCGTGGCAGGTCTCTCATCATCTTACCCGCGAAGCCTTGGACATTTTGGTCCAAGCGACGACACCTGCTGTTGCTGTGGTAGTTGCCAGAGCCCGCCTAACTGTGCAGATTGCCACCTCAGCACCCCCGGCAGTCCTTGACTTGGTCGAAGCCTGTTGTGAACGGGATCTCCCATGGACTAACCTCCTGCGAGACTCTCTCACCCAAGTGGGTCGGTTGTCGGGTCTTACTGAAGCCCAGCTCCAGGACAGTCCCATGCGTGTTGCGCGTGCTCACTGCCGGCTCCTTCGGGGAGCCTGCAAACGCATGGGCCGTTACGGCTCTTGCCTGATGGCCTTTCAGAGGGTCTGGCGGACCAGAGCCACCCACACTTCTACCGGCACCATCGGTACCCCACAGCCTGTCTCCTGCCCTGAATGCGGTTGGACCGGACGGTCACAACAGGCGCTTGCGGCCCATCGCCACCGCAAGCATGGGATCCTGGCCCGGGCCACGGCCCTTTGTGATGGCACGACTTGCAGTTGGTGCTTGCGAGACTTCCATTCGTCGGACCGCCTCAAGTACCACATCTCCACTACCCCTGCCTGCCGCTTGTCCTTGGAGATCTCTGTTGGACCGCATCACACCTACGGCTCTGGGTCCAAGCGTCGGGGCCCACAACAGCATCGACGGCTGCCGCCCTTGCGTATCAGTGGCCCCATCAACGCCACGCCTGCAGAGCGCGAGGCAGCCACAAACGGCCAACCATGGGCACCAGATGCCCTGCAACAGGAGTGGGACAAGTTACTCAGCCAGTCGCTCGGTGAGGGGCTCGCCGGCCCACCGAGTGACCAAGTCTGCCCTCAACTGACAATGCCTGCTCCAGTCGCCGCTCCCTCGGCCACCCCTGCCCCTGTCCTTCTGGCCTTCACTTTGGCTGTGGATTCGAGCCTGCCCTCGCCATGGTGGCCAGGTTTGTGCCGGCGACCTGCTTGCTGGCGGTTTCCGCCAGTGTGGAATCAACTGGCGGCCTTCTGGCATATCCTCGCCACCTCTGAGTGGGCTGGGCCACGTCTGCTCTCTCAATTCCGAACTGCAACTCGGCTGCTCGACAACGGCGCCGATGTCCCGGCATTCTGCCCGTCTACGGGCAGCCCTTTTGCCTCCGGCTCCGAGCTTCTGCTCCGTCACACCTTGTCCCTCCTTCATCTGGGCAAGTTTGTCGGCCTGGGCCACTGCTTGTGCTCTGAGCAGCCACCTGGGCTGCAGCTTCGTGCTGTGCTTCTGCACCTTTGCCCGAATGCTGCTTGGCTGCTCCTGGCCTCTCAGCAGCGACCGGTGTGGATTTTCGCCCCCCTTGGTTCTTCTGTGTCGAGGCTGGATTTTGCTCTGCACTCTCCTTCCGTCAGGTTGGCGCTTGCAGCGCCGCACCAGCTTTCCGCGTCGTCCTGAGGGACGCGGTACGTTTCTGATGAACGTTCCGCGTCTTCCTCGCTAGTGTTTCATGTTTTTGTGTTTCAAGTTTGAATTGGCTGTAGCTTGCTACTTTTGGCCTGCATGGACCGCGCCGGACTGTCCGCATGCGAGAGAGAGAGAGAGTGTAGGGTTGAGGGTTTAGGGATGGGTTTCGGGTCTGGGGAGCTAGGGTTTAGGGTTCAGGGGTGTAGGGGTGTACTTAAAGGCTCATGGGACTTAGTAATTAAGGTTATAAGTAGGTTATAATTAGGATAACCCCACTTAGGGGACTTATAGCCCCAACTATAACCTACTTACTAAGTCCCATGATCCTCCAAGTAGGGTCTAGGAATGGGTTTAGGGTTGGGAGCTTGGGTTGAGAGCTGCAGGAAAGCAGTCTGCGAATCGAGTTCAGCTAGGTTTCCCTCCCCAGCAACACCGAAATGAAACTGGTACCCTGTTCCGATCGTTCAGTTTTGACAAAGGGACACTCCAGCATGAACGAAACACGTGTAATAAACTGCTCAGGGACAAAGTGATGCATCTAAGAAACGGTACCACTCTCACCAGCGGGGCTGACACCGCCTTAGTAGCTTGCTCAGTTCATAAGCCCGACAAACGTAGATTTCCAGTTCTATAGGTGATACTTACTAACATCCACAAAAAAGTGTAAAGTGTACTCATTCAGCTACTAAGATACTGGCGCTGCCGGACGCACAGCTGCCACCGCAACCGGTGCTGACACCGGTGCGGCAGGCACAGGTGCCGAGGGCGCAACCGCAGCTCGCGTAAAAGGCTGTTGAGGCCTTGCCCACCTCACAAGCCAAAGCAAAAATCAGCAGGGCTGAGCGTAAACCTTAAGTTGTCCAACACGAACTATGGTGTTTTGGGGCACATAACATAGGATAAACATGACTCCTGGTACTCTAGGTAGGGCTACTTAAAGGATCATGGGACGTAGTAACTAGGGTTATAATTCAAGTAACTATACTTATAACTGCTTATAACCCCACTTAGGGTACTTATATCCGTACTTACTAAGTCCCATGATCCTCCAAGTAGGACACCGAATTCAGAAGATCTCTGCTCCTTAGGCTCGCGCTGAGCATGTGGCGCTGGTCGCTGCGCAGGGAGAGGATCCCTCCTAGTTCATTGTTGGGCTAGGATTAAAAATGTACATCTTATTCCCTATTAAATTTAAGTACCCATAAAAATGTAAAATGTTACCCAACTATGACAAAGCCTCCAGGCGGGCGCAGCGCTCTGTGGCGGCAACGGCCCTCCGTGCAGATTTCCGGGAGGGGCCTCGACCCGTTCAGGAAGCCGCGGCCTTGAAGGGGGCTGGGTCATGTGAGGGTTGGGGTGAGGGCTCACATAGGCTTGCGACGGCTCGGTCGGCTCTCTTCTTGGAGGCTTTTGGACACTCTGGCTCTGGGCTGGGGCTGGGATGCTGTGATCTCCCGGAGGTCTCTCCGGTGCCTTCGGGGAGCCTCGGCTATGGTCCCGCTCCCGGCGCCGCCGCCGGCCGCGCGAGCGCCCCGAGTGCTCCCGTCTGGAGTGGCGCCTCCGTCGGACCCGACGTCGCTCGCCTTCTTTCCTGTGGTGATCGTCGGTGGTGTCGGCGGCCCGGGCGCCCCAAGAGCTGGGAGGAGTGTCCCGGTTGTCTCGTGGGCCCCAAGCACCCTGCGAGGGCTGCGAGGGGTACGGCGCTTTCACAGCTTCCCGAGCTTCCCGAGCTTCGCGAGGCGGAGGATATCGAGGAGCTTCGGCGCCCTGCTTCAGATGCTGTTGGGGTGGAGGTTGTGGGGGTGGCGGTTGGCTCTGGTGGTTTTGGTAAGCGGCCGACGCAGGTTGCCGATAACCGTGCGGAGGGTAGGTTTGCGGTGGATGCTGGCTCGGAACTCCTTGGGGTGGGGCATGGGATGCTCGACTCTCTGTGTAGGGATGGGGTTGGTTCAGAGATGGGGGAGCTAGAGGAGCTGAAATGGCGGGGGCAGGAGGGCCACCACTGTACTCTGACCTCTGCACATTCGGACGTGGTGGATAGCTTCCTGGCATCTGCCTGGGCGGCTCAGCAAGGTACCTCAGGTGCAGACGTTGTTCTAAAGCTTGCAAGCGCACAAGGAATCAAAGCTCATCAGCTCGATTACGAAACCACCCAAAAACTCTAAACCTGACCACAACACTGATAACCCCCGAAACCCCCATAGAATCTCAATAGGGACCTTAGAGGAACCCTCGAGATTCAGGGTTTATGATTTGGGGTTTAGGTGTGTCAAATACCGAGGTACTCTTTAGGAGGCCCTTGCTGATGGCCAGGCTTGTACGGACCAACGGCCGGGGGAGGTGCAAAGTTACCTCGGCTGGCAAACGGGGGGCCGCAGTGCGGTTCTTTCAGGGCTCTACAAGGGGATTGCACAAGGGTTTGTTCTAGAAGGGACTTATGAGTTTCGCAAGGGTTTAGGATTAGGGTTTGGTGCTTAGGCTTTAGGGTTTGGCGGTGAAGAAGGTTTTATGGGTCTACGACGTTTGATACTTCAGCTTCTTCTGTTCTCAGATGAGTCTGTACCTAAACCCACCACGAGACCACCACCCAGGCACACCATCAGGACCCATACTTGGCAAAAGGAGCGTCTTGAACCGGATGAAGGAGCACAGACCAAACCCTGTAGGAGACCCGGCCAATCTTCAGACCACTCGTTGGGAATACTCTAAACCACAGGCCTCAACCACGCCCGTGGCTTCAAGGAAGGAGCTCGGGGAATGGTTTCGGCTTAGCCTCAAGCTCTTTTCAATCCAGCACTTCACCATGCCTACACCCTAGGCCTACTATGGGTTAGGGTTATATGATGGGAGTTTCCGAAAATAGGGGACCCTAAAATATTCTTCCCTTAATGGTAGGATCCTTATTATAAGGACCCCAAAATAAGGTACCCCTAGTTTTCGGAAACTCCCATATGCTTGGATAATGTTAAACCCTAGACCCTAAACCCTAAACCCCTAAACCCCTAAACCCCTAAACCCTAAACCCTAAACCCCTAAACCCCTAAACCCCTAAACCCTAAACATTAAACCCCTAAACCCCTAAACCCTAAACCCTAAACCCTAAACCCTAAACCCCTAAACCCCTAAACCCTAAACATTAAACCCCTAAACCCCTAAACCCCTAAACCCTAAACCCTAAACCCCTAAACCCCTAAACCCCTAAACCCTAAACATTAAACCCCTAAACCCCTAAACCCTAAACCCTAAACCCTAAACCCTAAACCCCTAAACCCCTAAACCCTAAACATTAAACCCCTAAACCCCTAAACCCCTAAACCCTAAACCCTAAACCCCTAAACCCCTAAACCCCTAAACCCTAAACATTAAACCCCTAAACCCCTAAACCCTAAACCCTAAACCCTAAACCCTAAACCCCTAAACCCCTAAACCCCTAAACCCCTAAACCCCTAAACCCTAAACATTAAGGGGTCTAGGGAACCCGGCGGCCCCTCAACGAAACCTGGAGGCCCCTCCTTGGCACGAACACGGGACCTGAAAAGCAATACATGGCGCTCTGCTGGGTGCCCTAAGCCCGAGGGCCCACATATATATATATATATATATATATATATATTAATTAATTAATTAATTAATTAATTAATTAATTAATTAATTACACCTATTATGGACTTAGGTCCCCCAAAAAAACCATTATTAGGATGGTCTTTTGGAGCTTAATCCCATAATGGTAGTGTATATATGGACCCTCTTGGTCAGCTAGTCTAGTTTCGACGAAGGTAGGAGACCTGGGACTAGACCCAAGGCGAAATCTCACGAATAAAAGCTTTGTGGGGTTTGGAGTTTTGGGTTTGGGGTGGACGGTTAAAGGACCCTCACTTCGGGGTTCGTGGGTTTTTTACTGGGGTTAGAAGTCACTTAATGTAAGTTGTAACTATATAGTTACCCTACTCAGAAAAAGCCAACTTATACCTAACCTTAGACAAACCAACTTATACCTCACCCGAGAAAAGCCAACTTATAATTAACCTTAGAAAAGCCAACCTAGGATACCTAGTAACCTAAGAATAAAATGGCCTCTCTTTTTGGTATTGGGTAACTTTATAAGGAACCTAGGACTACAAAAAGGGAATAAGGGTACTACTGGGTATCCTAGTATAACTACACATGAACCTCCTTTAGCAGAGCCAGGGTCCGAAACCCTGAACTCTAAACCCTAAAGCCTAAACCCACGGTTTAGGGTTCAGGGTTTAGGGTTCCTTTTAAGGGTACCATAGGGCTCTATAGTAGGGCTGCCTTTAAGGCTTAGGGTTTAGAAGGGTTTAGGGTCCCGAAGCTGTTCTTGACGACGGGGCCCGGCGGGGGCGCCATGTCGTCCATGACCGGCGGTGGGGCGCTGGGAGGAGGGCCAGGAGGGGCCTGAGCACCAACATCGATCTAAATAGGTTTAGGGTTTAGGGTTTAGGGGTTTAGGGTTTAGGGCCTTTAGGGCTTAAAGTTTAGGGTTTAGGGTTGAAGGTTTAGGGTTTAAGGTTTAGGGTTGAAGGTTTAGGGTTTAAGGTTTATAGGGTGTTTAGAGCTTAAAGTTTAGGGTTTAGGTGCCGTACTGATTATGAGCACCTGCTTTTTGAATCTCAACTCGTCTTTTGGCAAACCCAAGGTTTGGGTTGCCGGGCTGAAAGTTTACAGGAAAAACAGAATGTTAATGTAGGAACCTGAAACCTTGGGCCTTTATAAGGGTTCCTTATATGAATCCTACTATCTTGGTGTTATCGGCCCAGGGTTCCTAATGGTTCCTTATATGAATCCTACTATCTTGGTGTTATCGGCCCAGGGTTTCCTAATCAGGTTCCTACATTAGCCTAGAAGTCGTTTCGTTCTGTCTTGCGGTGGCCCTTGAAGCCGGTAGCTTTGAAGGAAACCGACTGTGATCAGGTTGTCTTATACTATCCACCGAGGCCTCGGCGTGTACTGTAATATAGGGGCCTTAAAAATATGGTTATGGGGTCCATTATAATACATTCATAATTATTAAGGCCCCTGTATTAATCCACGTGACTCGAATCGCTCGCTCGACTGCGGAACTGTCTACCCTGAAGAGTTTAGGCTTCAGGGCTCCTTCGAAACAGGGCTCCTTCAAGGGTTCGTTGTTATGCATTTCGGGTTCCTAGTTCATGGTTGGGATAGGATTAAAAATATAAATTTGCATTCCTTATTTGGTTTAAGTACCCATAAAAATGTAAAATGCTACCCAACTATGACAAAGGTTCAGGGTTTTTGCAACCCTCTGCGTCCCCCTCATGGAAACCCACGCCCTCATGCCCGATCCTCTGAACCCTAAGCTGCAAAACTCTAACTATAGGATCCTTAAGGGAGGGTGGTTCAAGGGGGGAGGGTATAAGGAATCCTTAGGGGACTGTAAGGGAACCTTAGGGAGTACTAGGGAGAATTAGGGATCACTAGGCTATATACCCCCCTTGGACCCCCCTCCCTTAAGGATACTACAATCTAAACTCCAAAACCCTAGCCCCGAAACCAAACCCCAAGCGTTCAAAACTCGATGCCTCAAAGCCGCAAAGCCCCCGAAACTGAAGCCCTCATAGACGCCCCATAGAACACATATAGATCCCTTACTTAACCCTTTAAACCCCCTGCAAAACTATAGAAATCCCCTCTGGGGTTCAAGCCGTGGCTGGAAACGGAGCCTAGAGCGTTTCCGGGCCGAGCTTTGTCAGGGTTTCATAGTTGTTCCTTGTGGTTTAGGTCTAGGGTGAAGGGCTTTTTTATGTGCAGTGTTATGGAAGGGTTTTGCAAGAATTTCTTGTGGTTTTGAAGGCATTTGTATTATATGGCCTGGTAGGGGTTTGTATACAGCTTCGTGCTTCTTCTCCCGAAACCACTCTTTAAACCCTCGAACAACCCTGCAAAAACCTGATGAACCCTATCCACTATAATTATCCTAAATCTAGGCCCTCCCTAGCCGTTCTGTCTGGCCATGCATGCTGCGAACACTTGTGCATGCTGCCTCGACTGCCCTTTAAGCAGTCTGCTAGCAACCACCTTGCCACCGCATTCCAGTCAGAGAGTGCGTGCCATCTCGCGGGCTAAGTGCTGCATCGCACGCCCGTGCTGCGCATGTGCGGAACTAAAAATGTTGAGGCAGCATGCAGTCATTTTAAACGAGGCAGCACACGTTGTTTTTTGGACGTGCTGTAGGGTGTTTCTTGGTTCAAGCCGTTTCGTTTGGTTTCTAAAAAATGCATTGCACCTCGAAGTTCTGCGTTCGGCACGTGCGTTGCGGAAAAATGTGAGGTGGCACGCATGGCTTTGAGTTGGCATGCACGCGCCCTCAAGAAGCACGCATGCACTCGAGGCAGCACACACTATTCTTAGTAGCACGCTGCTCGATACAGCATGGCCAGGGAAGCCGTTGGCTAAACTACACTGGTTCACTGCTAAACCCTACCTTAACCCTGAATAACCTACCTTTTCAGGGTTCCGTATTCTGATTTCCCTATATAAGTCCTCAAACAGGTAGGTTATTCCGGGTTAAGGTAAAGCCTAAACCCTAAACCTACAAACCCTAAACCTAAACCCTGCTGGCCTGCGGCGGCGACCAGCCCGGAGGAGGTCCGGAAGGGGCAGGAACCTCCACCGCCACGGCCTCCTGCTGCCATAGGGCTTGGGGTTTAGGCCTCAAGGTTACGGCTTGGGATTTAGGGTTCAGGGTTTAGGGCTTAAGGTTACGGTTCAGGGTTTAGGGCTTAAGGTTACGGCTTGGGATTTAGGGTTCAGGGTTTAGGGCTTAAGGTCACGGTTTGGGGTTTAGGGCTTAAGGTTGCGGTTTGGGATTTAAAGTCTTTAGGGTGAAGGGGTTTAGGGTTTAGGGCTTAAGGTTACGGTTTGGGGTTTAGGGTCTCGGGTCCGGGGTTTAGGCTCTCCGGTCTAACGTTCAGGGTTTAGTCATAAGTAAATCCCTTAACCCTGAACCCTCAACACAACTAAAACTACATCAGGGCTCTTAAGAGACTAGAATAGGATTCCTTTGAAAGGTTCCTTTCAAAGGGTTTATTAGAGATTCATAGGTGACAGGGCCTTGTAAGATGGCCGGAATAGGGCTTTGGGGTATACTTTAATGGTATAAGTATAGTCAAGAACTCTAAGGAATAATGTTGGTAATTCTTGAAGCTTCTTTACTAAACTCAAACGACCGCAATGCCGTTTTGAAGAGCGAGCCTGCGCAGGAGCAGAGGGCTTGACCTGGCTGTCTCCAAAGTTGTGATTGTGGGGCGTGTCAAGCTGTGTTTGTAAGGTTTCATTCCAAGACCTACCTGATTGCCCATGAACCTGCCTTCTTCAACCACGAACATTATCACCATCAATGGCACCAATTTCAGTATCCTTCCGATGATTTCTGCACGTTCACTCAACCACCCGAAAGCTGCTCTTTCGTCAAAAGAGGCGGGGGCAAATCTGCTTCCCCTAATCTAAGCGAAAGTAGAAGGAACACTCGGAGAAAACCCATCTCCGACATGCTCTTGGCTGCGTTTGGTGCTTCGGCTGCATGATCCGGATTCAAATCGGAGTTTCCGAAAATAGGGGACCCCAATATGGTACCCTGAACAGTCGGATCCTTGGTATAAGGACCCTAAATAAGGTACCCCTAAATTCGGAAACTCCCAAACCCTAAACCCTATAGATCCCTTATAGGAACCCTTATAGGAACCCTTATGGATCCCTTTAAAGGGCCTAAACCCTAAACCCTGATTTTCGCAAAGTCCCAAATGTTCCAGCCAACCCCATAGTCGCTTGATGACGACTTTGGATAGATTGGGTTTAGGGTTTAGGGTTTAGGGTTTAGTGTTTAGGGCTTAGGGTTTAGGGTTTAGGGTTTTGGATTTCGGGGGGTGGTGCTTTACGGTTGTGTTCCGCTGGTTTGGAAGGGGAGCGAAGGCCTCAGGTGTGAGTCGTAAGTCCGTACGGACGAGGAAGGAGTCCGAAAACCTGAACTTTCAACCCTGACCCCCCATCACCTGAACCACAAAGCACCTGAAAACCGAGCGACTCTCATACTTCCCCCAACAGACACCACAAATACAAGACCTGAAACACCAGGTGGCCTGCGACTTTGCGAGAGCCCCGGGTGCCAAAGACCTGACACCCCGGGCACTGCCCTCCGCTTAAACAGGATATTCTGCTTCCACCTAGAATACGGTCCGGCTTTCTACAGCGTGTCTGTTCCAGTACTCAGGGGATCTTACAAGGAGGTCGTTACCGGGTTTCATAAGGCTTCCGAAAGGTTTAGTAGTATAGAGACTTTAGAAACTTCGTAGGACATGGTGTATGTGACAGTACACTGATATCAGGGATACCTACCAGTTACTGCACGGACCTTATTAATTAAAATAGGGTTTTGGGGGGTATATTTTACAAAAACTGCAGCAACCTCGACAAGGGTAGCTCGAGTCAGGGACTTGGCAGGAATATGGCGCCTGGCCACCACTCGGTTCCAAGCCGAGTGGGGCACCGCAACCAACAAAGATCCGTCCAGTTCGGCTATCCCTATCAACTGTGAACTCACTTCCTGGCCCTCAGGGTGCAGGGTAACAGTAGGGTTTTAAGGGGGTCGGGTATTAAAGTTAGTGATCACAAATCAAAAGTTGGCCCTTGCCTCAGCCGTAAGGGCCCCAAGGCTCACCCTTGCCATGCCAGTCCATGGGGCCGTAGGACTCACCCTCGCCCAGTCCATGGGGCCGTAAAACTCACCCTTGCCATGGTGAGCAAAAGCCGGCTCCCAAAAAGTCGGATCCCAATACTCACCCTTGCCGCCAGAGTGGTGAGGATCCCAGGCCATGGCTGGAGTCACGGAATGATGTCACCGACAAGACAGCGCACGCTTCCGTGCAGAAGATGTTTGTGTCACTGGGTCTGTGAATCGGCCAAACAGCATGATGCAGAAAGTGCTCTGGCAGCTCCGTTGCTTGAAGATCCCATTCTGCAGGTGACAGGAGCCCCCAAAATGGTCTTAGTAATTGTTTAGGCCGACCTCTGTGTCCGGCTCTGCTTTCTTGCGGTTTAAGGCTTTGGGATCTGGCCCTGTGGATGGCTTTCGAGCTGAAATTTGCCTGCTCCATCTAAGAAGCAATGCTTACGTTCGACAGGGTTTAGGGTCTAGGTGCTTTTGAAACTCAGCATCGTTCTACATCCCTTTACCCCTCGACGTCCCGAAACCCAAAGCTCCTCATACCGGGACCTTAATGATTTGAAAAGAGTATCTTAGTTGCTGAGTTCATACGCCCCAAAAAGTACACTTTTAGTTTTATAGTGGGTGATATGATCCCAAAAAAGTGTAAAGTGTATCCACTCAGCAACTAAGGTATAGGATGTGTTATACGATAACCCTAAACCCAGGAACCGGAAGGTGATCCTAAGCTGACCTGGCTTTGCTCTTCGCCGGAACCGTCGACGCAACGCGCTGAGCTTCCTGGTGTGCTAGGGCTGGGGTATAGGGTTTTAGGGGTGTGTGGTTTCTAGGTTGCGGGCTTGAGGTTTCAGGCCTTAGGGTATTTGCCGGCTTTGGTAAGCCTCGCACAGCCTTTGCAGTGCTTTCTCTGGTTCGCTGTTGTTGGCGGAATGTTGGAATTTCGTTAAAGGGCTCTCACGGTTAAGAAGGTTCTGAAGGGTGTCGAGTGGAGATTGCCTGAGGAATCAAAGGACGTGGCAAGTACGCTCATAAGAAAGCTATAGCTATAACTTCTTGTCGCCTCAACATAAGTACCTACCTGTGCTTGCTTACTGCAGTTCTCTGACCCTTTATGTACCCAGAGACTCAAAAACCCCTTAATGAATGAATATCATATTAGGGATCCTATCATGATTCAAGGTATATTCCTTAATTAAGGGGTTCTGGAGTCTCTGGGTATATCAACTGCTTAACCATGAAGCGGCTCGGAAGCAAAGGCAAAGGTACCCCTGCGCACCGTGTTCCCAAGAATCCTGAAATCCCACCGGCCTGAAACCCTAAGGCCGAGAAGCTTGCCTAAAGCCCGAAAGCCGGTTTAGGATCTAGAGTTTAGGCAAACCTAAAGCACTCCCTTAATCTATTCTTACAATTTTTCCTTTGTTACAGTTGCTTGGCTGTTTCTCTTCACTGTGGTCCGCCTCATGACTCTGCGAACCGCATTGGCATGCTTGTCGTTTCGATCTAATCTCTGAGCCTATCTTTCTACAGGAGTCTTACCAAGAGGCTTCTTTCCGCCTGCTTCCACCAGCCATGTACTTTCATGACCTTATTGGGCTTGATCTGATCTTTGCGTTGCAAACTCCTTTACCACCTCATTTTAGGTTTGCATCTTTCTCATACCTAACAACCCCCGGGCCCCACTGTAAATGTAGCCGCATCGAAGATGGAAGAGGGTTTTGGTGTCTGATATCGCGTCTCTATTTCGCGATCGTCTGCCTATATTATGTAAATCCCTAGAGGTGTCTGTGTGTGCATCTGTATGTATATCTAGAATCTAGAATCTGGAAACGAATGAAAGATGAATACATATAAGTGTTGAATTACATAGACGTGCGCACAAATAAACAAACAAATGTATAAATCATTACATGTATACATACACCTGTATGTATGTGTGTATTTATACACACACACACATGTTCCGTTCATTGTGCATGTCCCTTCCACTTTGAGACAGGAGTCCCTACCGGGGTTCAGGTACCGCTTGACTACCGGGATATATAGACATGCAGGGGAAAGAAAGAGAGAAAGAGAGAGGGAGAGACAGCGAGAGAGAGAGAGAGAGAGAGAGAGAGAGAGAGAGACCGAGAGAGTCCTAAGAGCGCTGGGGCATGCCCAATGCCCACACTAGCTGTTGTTTTTCTACCACGGTATACAATGCTATGACCCTTATATAGCTCTTAGCCAACAAATGCAAAGGCACAGGCGGACAATGAGACAAACAGGCCGACAGACACGCAAACAGAAAAACAATCACAACAACAAACAATATACTTGGAGGACCCAGGGACTTGGTAAGTAAGGTTATATGTACCCTACGTGGTGATATAAGTAGTTATAAGTACATTCACTTTAACTATAACCCTAAGTACTACATCCCATGATCTTTTAAAAGTTCTTAACAAAACTCGAAAAGGTGGGGCCTTATGCAAACGCGCTCGTCCGGCATTGAGCTCCGCTTGTTGCCGGACGGCCTGTCAAGCAACTGTTGGGGGAGGCCCAGAAACCCTCCATGCAGCTCTGGTTATAGTGTTTGGAACGGTTTTATGGCGCGGATCTAGGGCAACCATACTCCCCGCGGCAAAATAACACTCAGTAAAGACTTCCGCAGAGCTCTGAAAAATCCTCTAGAACCACCCAAAATTATCACTTGAGCAAAATTCAAAACCCCACACCCTCAACCCCATGAGAAAGCCCCCTCAAATCCCGAACGGAGGACCGCAGGCACCCGGCTCCTGTTGCAATAGCGGGTAGTTGGATGGTCTAGTTACCTCCCACGGTTTAGGGTTTAGCGTTGCCGACCCTCAGCGCGAACGCTGTGAACAACTTGTAATCAAAAAGCTTCCCTCAAAACATTCCGGAAGCCAGCACAAACTCTCAACCCTCAAGCGCGCCCGACACCGTAAACTCTTCAACCCGAACCCCTCAACCCATCAACTCCAACACCTAACCCTAAACCCTAAAAAAAAGAAAGACTCTGAACTGATTCCGAAACTTTAATACCAAACCGAACCGTACATAACCCTGAAGCCCAAAAAGCCCCAAAACCCCACCCCTGTAACTGTAAAGTCCTTAGCTCCCTTGGAACAACCCTTCCCTAAACCCCGAAACCCCTAAACCCCAAACCCTAACCCACACCCTAAACTATCCCCTTCAAGCGGGTTAGCCTCCGCGCTGGCTTTGGGATCCGCTGGCGCGTCCGCATCCTGAAAAGCTCTCGGAGGCCCATAGGGTTTGGGTTTACACGATTTAGGGTTTTAGGAATTAGGGGTTTAGGGATTGGGGGCTTAGGGTTTAGGGTTTACGATTTAGAGGTTTAGGGTTTAGGGGTTTAGGAATTAGGGTTTCGGTTTCAGGGCTTAGGGCTTTTAGGGTTCTGGGTTTCTCGGGTTCAGGGGCCGTTTTAACATGCAGTGGACTGTCGATCTGCGGAACGTCCTGCCTCCTTGGGCCTACACGGTGAAACAGAACACCGCAGGAAGATACCCAGAAGCGGCACCATCCCAGCCAAGACCATGTTCAGAGAACACTAGGCAGAGATTAATCGAAATCGCCCGTAATCGTTAACTTATAGGTTCACGGCACTTAGGGTTCAGCGTACAAGCGTTTAGGATCTAAGGCAACCCTCATAACAAATCCTGGCCCTGCACAGCCCCGACTAGGCAACCGTACTCGCAGTGAGCCATACCTACTTAAAGGCTCATGGGACTTAGTAAGTAAGGTTATAAGTTATAATTAGGATAACCCCACTTAGGGGACTTATAACCCCAATTATAACCTACTTACTAAGTCCCATGATCCTCTAAGTGTGGAACAGGTGCGAGAAGGCCCTCACATGCCCTCACCCTCAACCCAATCCGCAAAACCCGACAAAACCCTATGAGCACCGCATAGACCTAATGAAGGGGCCTTCATAATCGGAATAGGTTTTGGGGGGTATGTGATACTATAGTTATAGTAAGGAACCCCCAAAATGGTATAGGTAACTCTTAAGGTCCCTATATTGAACCCTAAGCCTGGAGAGCAGGCGGTCCTCAGTGGAAGCAGGCTCCTGGTTTATCTTGTAGGGACAGAGCGGGGGTATCTTGAGTATGAAGATTCTTCGTCAGTGGGGCCTAAGGCGTAGTCAGGGCTTATAGTTTTCTGAGGTGGTATGTAGAGTTTCAGATCCGTGACAGCCTTGTTACTGCGCACATTCGAACTCCTGTAGGCCATAACTCTGCAAGGGGTTCTGCGGCTAGGAAGGATTCCAACCACAAGCCTTTTGCACTCTAGTATACTTAAAGGCTCATGGGACTTAGTAAGTAACGTTATAAGTACATTACTACTAGGATAGCCCCACTTAGGGGACTTATAACCGCAATTATAACCTACTTGCTAAGTCCCATGATCCTCTAAGTAATTTGGAAAATGCGTTACGTTTAAGATACATCCCTACAAAGGTCGTGGTCCTTAACTAAAACCAAACAAACATGCAAAACATCAGGACCCCTGCACCCGTCTGCTGGTAAAAGATTGGTGGATCGTCGCCAGGCTTCCTGCAACTTGGACTGATCCCTAACCGAAGCCCTGAACCCCAACCCTAAAACCTGAAATCAAATGCGACATCCCGAATCCTTCTAGAAACCTATACTATAGGAACCTTGAGGACTCGAACCGGGGTGTGACGGGGTGTGGACGAAATTCTGAAGAGACTGTGAAGTGGATCTGCTAACGATTCAGACTCGAGATTCACACCCCTACAGGTGTTTCAAGAGACCCCAGTCGGCCTCATCACCGCCCCAGTCTGCCTCATCTTCCGAGGAGAATTCCTGTCGAAGGGGTCGAGGATTTTAGTCGTTCTGGGAGGGTGGGATTTAGCTACACCCTAAACCAAGGCTTCGTGTTTGGACTTGGGGTTTAGGGCATTGGATGCCGGAGTGTGCCTTTAGGCCCCCAAAAAAGCACATAAGCAAAAAGAAAGTCAAGGATGTCCCATATAAACCCCCGTATGATGAAGCCCAATAAGGTAGGGCTATCCCGATAAAATGCTTATGCTTATGTGCTTTTTGGGTACCTAGGCTTTGTTGCACGCTCAATCCTGCGTAAGTCTTGCAGCGCTTGCGGCTCTGCTTCCGGCTCTTTTGGGCTGCATTTGCACTTTTAGGAATCCCTTTTTGGGGTTTAGGGGTCCAGGGTTTAGGGTTTAGGAGTTTAGGGGTTTGGGTTTAGGGGTTTAGGGGTTTAGGGTCACTAGGCCTTCCGGTAGCCCTTACAGCAACCCCCTGTAGCAGCACAAGGGAATCCTCAAAGGGAACCCGTACTTGGATGCGTTACTGGAGTCTCGGAATCTTCCAAGAAGTTCTTGAAGGAACCCTCAAGCCGTCTTTAAAAAGAATCCTAAAAAGAAGCCCAGATAAACTGCTCAAAGACCCTAAACCCCTAAACCCCTCAAAGGAAGCCCCGATAAACTTGTCAAAGTCTTCCACAAGTGAACTTCCCCGAAAAACAGCCGGCCTCTTGCGCCATCCTGCCTTAGAATCTTTAGGAGCTCCTTGAGGGTAACTGATATATGGGCCTTAACAATTGGAAGACGGTTTAGGGTTTAGGGTTTAGGGTATAGGGTTTGGGATAGAGGCCTCAATCAATAGAATAGGGCTCCTTGTAAAGGGATCTACTACTATAAGGGATCCAGAAGAGTATTACAATATAGCGGCCTTAATAATTAGAATAGGGTTTGGGGGCCCCTTTTCGCTTTTATTGTACTAAGGAACTACCAAAAATAGTATTGGTAATTGTTGAGGCCCCTATACTACTTTGAGATTTCTTTTGGGGGGCCTCTTTAAAGGTTTCTCTGAGGGCTCCGTTCAGGGTTCCTTTCAGGACTCTTTAGGGTTCCCTTAACGGCTCTTTTCAGGATGTGAGCTCCAGGGCTTGGGGTTTCTGTAGGGTTGGTGCTTACGCTTTTTCACGGCCCTCTTTCCCCGCTAGCTGCCGAAATCCCTTTTGGGGCAGCAAGCGAACGACAAACTTGCCCCCAAGGCTCAGGGTATAAGAGCTCCTTGAGGGTGCCTTACTTGGAGGATCATGGGACTTAGTAAGTATGGTAAATAAGTACCATAAGTGGGGTATTATAAGTAGACATAAATACAATTGCCTGAATTATAACCCTAAATACTAAGCCCCCATGATCCTCCAAGTAGGGTTCGTCAGAATCTTCAAGGTTTCCTCAAGCTGGTCTTTGTTCTGTGAGGATCCTTTCGCGGCTCCGCAAGAGCAGCGACACCTTCGGAACAGTGTTGCAATGTATTCAAGCCCCTAGTGCCCTAGTTATATGAGGGGTCTAAGGCTTGAAGGGGTTGACTCAATAGAAATGGGAAGGATTTACAACGGCTCCGCAGGGGTTCTTTCACATTTCTCCAAGACCTTGACATTTCGGGGGGTTCCTGGCTAAGGCGTTTCAAGGTTTGGGGTTTTTGGTTTCAAGTTCCAGGGTCTGGGCCGCAGGGGATGGGGAGAGGGGTGTCCGGGTTCAGGAGCTTACTGTATGCGTTTGGGACCTCATAAGCTTGTTGGCCCCTAAGCCCTATGCCGTCTCATTGCTACTAAATTGCTTTTCCTGAAGCTTGCTAGATTACCAGAACCGGTATTCACAGCTTAGAATTGAGGTTTACGCCTCGACTTCGAGACAGACCCGCAGGAGAAAACCGAAAGAGCATAGCCGTGTTCAGTTCATGGTTTTGGGATCCCAGTCTAGGGTTTGGGGCTCGTGTCTTCAAGGCTTGCCCCGGGGGTCAGCCAGGATGCTGGGAAAACATGAGATCTTAGTGTCACCCATGGTTTCTATTCAGGGATCCGATTTGCAACTCCGACCGGGTTTCCTGAGGGGTCCCACTCTAAGCCCTATCTAGCACTAAGGGATATGATATGATATGATATGATATGATATGGTCTTATATCACACAATAATGATAATACTAATAATACGAATAACAATAATAATAATACTAATAATAACAACAACAATAATAACAATAATAATAATAATAACAATAATAATAACAATAATAATCATAACAATAATAATACGTTGTAACTTTCTTACAATTGCCCACGAGGAACTACGTTGTACAGCTGCGGCTTTGGGGCGCAGGCTACGCCCGGCCGCCGGCAAAGTGCTGTCGCACGCCACCTCGGAAGGAACCCTTATTTGGGGTTTAGGGTTTAGGGTTTAGGGTTGAGGTTCCTGGGTAGCTATAAGGGTTTAGGGTGTCTTTTTGGAGGGGCTTGGGGGTTTCGGGTTCAGGGTTTAGGGTTTGGGGTGCAGGCCCAGGATTTAGGGCTGGGTAGTTATAAGTGGGTTTATGAGTAGGGTAGCTAAGTCATAACCCAAGTAGACGAACAAAGAAACCACCGTAAAACTGCCCATGGACCTCCAAGCAACTGTAAGCCCGAGGCCGCTAGTCGAAAGCCTAAACGCTAAAGCCTCTACATAAAACCCTTATGCTAGCCATTTTATCTGTGTATATATATATATATATATATAGATATATAGATATGGATGGACCTTTTAGAGGATATCGCTTTAAGTTGATCCCTGAATCAGCCCACATCTTCTAAAGAGACATCGCAGGAGCCCCTTTCAACATCAAGGAGCCCTTAGAGGAAATCCACACATCGAAGGAACCCTTCAACAGCCCATATCTTCAAGGATCCCGCAAAAAAGCCCCTGAAAGGAAACCATATCTTCAACGGAGGATCCCTTAAAGCCTAAACCCTGAACCCCTAAACCCTAAACCCCTAAACCCTGACCCCTAACCCCTAAACCCCTAGACCCCTAAACCCCTTAAACCCTAAACCCCTAAACCCTGACCCCTAACCCCTAAACCCCTAGACCCCTAAACCCCTTAAGCCCTAAACCCCTAAACCCCTAAGCGAAGAGGGGCGGCCGAGATCGGCGACGCTGCTGGCGGCAGCCATCTGGGCAGGTCGTCGGCTTCTGTGAGGGCCTTAAGGTTCCTTTACGCGTTGGGGTTTGGAGTTTAGGGTAGGGTCTTTTTTTAGGCTCCTTCTAGCTGGGGCTATGTCAGACACTTCTGTCTTCTTTAGAGCCCGCAACGTAACCAGTGCTGATTGCACCTGCTCAGGTGTGGACGCATTATCCAGCAACGTGAGCGTCCCCGCCCTCTGTGCAGAGCTCATTTTCTTGAGGCCATCCTCCATTCCATCAAGACCACCGGTTTTGGTCAGGCAGCGTCCGGCCATGCCTTCCAGCTGCTTGGTTACCGCCTCCGTGATCTGGTCGGACGCTCCACCGTCGTTCGCATCCTCTGCGAAAGGGTATTGAACAACACCTTTGCGTCCGTGGTACCAATACTCCGACGACATTGCTCCACAAAGCAGCGCTTCCGCTCGCTACCCTGTTCGTGTAGGCGCTTGAGCCAGGCTTGGGCTTGGGTAGGGTCTGGGGTTTAGGGTCTCGGGTATACGGTTTAGGGTTTCCACACCAGCAGAACCCTAGTATAGTGGCTCCAAATAGTATCCTTATCACAAGAAGGACCCAAGTGTGGAACCCTACATAGCATCCTAACTATATGAAGGACTCGGGTATACAAGGTTAAGTATGCATCAGAGGCACCACAATGGTCTGCCGCAGGCTTAACATTTAGGGTTTAGGGGCGTCGGAAATCTATTATTTCTTGTTACACCAGCTCACCACCGCATGTTTCGGTTATGTGCATGAGGCTTGGGGGTGTCAAACCAAGCAAGCCTGGTACTGAACCTCAAATAGTATAGAACTCCGAAATGGGTCACCGATAAACTTCTGAAGCACCATTTGAGCCGCCCCATCACCTGGATTCCAAAGCCTGTGAGGGAAGGGGGGACTGTGTCCAGCATCTACTAAATGGGTGGTTGTCAAATTAGGGTCCCTTTTTGAGTCCCTAGTATAATGCCGCACCTAATATTTAGGGTACCCAAAAAGGGACCCTAATTTTGACAACTACCTCAACGACTAGGGAACATCGGCGAACCCAATAAGCACTGCCCCTGGAACCCTAAAAACCCGCCTTAAACCGCTTCGCAATTAATCTGCTGCACACTTTAGGGTTTACCTGCAGCCGGAAAGACCTACCTTTTACGGTGCCTTATTATGGTTTCTATATTATAGAGTTCCTTAAAGAGATAGGTCTTTTCGGCTACAAGTAGAGTCTGGGGTTTAGCCTGCGGAATTTCAGGGCTGAGATCCTCGAAGCGATCATGCTCGAGGCGGCCGAGGCGGACCTAGAATTGGATGCCAGGGCCTTGTGGCTTAACCTAAGCTCTACCCATAGGCCCCAAAGTAGTTCCTTTTTGGGAATACATAGGGTTCTTAATGTGAACCTCCAAAAGGAACTACTTTGGGGTCTCAGGGCAATAAATCTAAACTAAACCCTGAAGCTCAGGGAGTCTGGGTCCGTCAGGGTGCACTTGCAAGCTACGTGCACTGGCATCGGCCGCCGTCAACTTGGCTGTTTGTCAGGTCGTGATGCGGGCTTGCGAAACCCAAGGGACTACTTATAAGCCCGGTTAAGATACTTCTATTCTTCCTTGTAATTAAGTAATACGAGAAGGATTTCGTGCACATTGTACTGTGCATCACTGTGCCTTAATTGGAACTCTAATATTCAGATCCACCCATGAACCTTCAAGAAGAGCGCGGAAGGCTGCATGGCGGGCGCTCCGGGCGGGTGTAGGCTCGGGCGGGAGTCTAGGCTATGGGAGTGAAGCACTCGAAGCCCTTGAACCCGCGACATCTCTAAAACAGTTTAGGGTTCAGGGCGTGCCTGCTCAGAACGTAGGTTTCGGGGTTTAGAGGTTTAGGACTTCATTTTGTTTGAAGGCCCTTTTCCCTCAAAAACACAGAGAAGTTTAGGACTTCAGCATTTAGAGCTTCAGGATCTTCAGCAGGCTGCAGATCTGGGGTACTGTACAAAAGCCCCAAAGACGACTCTCAGGTAGATGGCTACATCCATGCGGTCCGTCCATTCAAAGCTCTGCAATGAGCCGAAAAGGCTTCAAAAATTTATAACATTTTATCCGGAACACCCTTGAGCCGAAGAAAGAGCATTAAGAGCTGAGGGTCTGGTGGTCTTATGATTGCATATTCGTAGTAGTGGTGACAGTCGTCGGCGCCCACAACAGCAGCTGCTTCTCGTTAGCTATCTCTTCGTCACTAGAACTTGTGCTTCTGCTGATGATGCTACTGCTGTTGCTGATGTTGTTGCTGCTATTGCCACTATTGTTGGCCCTGAACCGTACAGACTAAGCCGTTCATTGCGCTGTGGCTGCTTGTCCTTTTATGTCGCGCGCCGCGCTTAATGTAGGGGCCTTCGCAATTAGAATAGGCCTTTGGGGCCCCATAATTATAATAAGGAACCCCCAAGATAGTAGAGGTCGTTATTCAGGCTCCTACATTTTGGTCCATGTTTGTAAGATTGAGGCTCTGGGCTTGGGCTTTGCTGCAGCGTTTCGGGCCCAGCCCTACATCC